GGACGGCTCACTCTGCTCTTTCACCTTGGGATCTACTGCTCCTTCACAAGCGCTTATATCACTTTTGCTTCCCTGTTAGAGAGGTACATATGAATCCAGAGCCCCTCAGAAAGGGACAGGCACCTGAGTGGAATGTATTTGTACATTGCTGCCAAGGGTGTGGTCGCTAACATTCACATCTCCGCACCCTTACCCTGCTATTTATAGAGAAGTCAAGTGGATTCCCTGCTGCATTATATAAACTAGAGCACCCTGTTTCCCCAAAAATAAGACCTAACCTGAAAATAAGCCCTAGTATGATTTTTCAGGATACTCATAATATAAGCCCTGCCCCAAAATAAGCCTCACTTAAGTGAAACCCCGCCCTCCACCATTGTGCAACAACCAGACTGTATTACATGATTGTATTTGAATACATGTAGATTGTTGTACATGAAAAAAAAATCCCCTAAAAATAAGCCCTAATGCATTTTTGGAGCAAAAATTAATATAAGACCCTGTTTTATTTTCAAGGAAACACGGTACCTATGCAGAGAAGTGGCTAAACTGACTTGATGCTTAGAGAAATGTACTGTACAGATAAGCCTCCCCAGCAATTTGATCCCAAGAATGCAGAATATGCTTTTTGCAATACATCAAAGGTGGGCATGAGACTTTAGGTGCCACATGGTGGGAGGCAGAAGGGTCTGCATTCTAGTTGTTCCTCCTGAGCTCTTGGCCATTCCCCTGTCCTGCAAGGTACAGCCACGGGCCCTGTAAACTAGCCTGTGGCCTTAGGCATGATGGAAATATCCCATTGTCTCTACCGTTATTTGGGTGCCTGAAAGCTACAGCAGGGTTCCCCTTCAAATAAGTCAGTGTCAGGAACCGCTTTACACCTTCCTACTCAACATGCAACAGTCTAAGTGTTCTCTGGTGAGATCAGACATTCAGCAGTTAAAAATTATATACAGACTTGTCTCCAGCCAAATATTGGTATAAAAAGACTGATGTTAAACTGAGTCCTTTCATGGAATGGAGGAGGGTATCTTTTGCTTCAGGCAGCAAAATACGTTGTGCTAACCCTGAGGATTCTTACTCCTTTTGAAAAGCCACACTGCAGGGTGACAGGTGGAGTGGGTAATGGGATCCACCAAGCTCTACTCTGGCTTTTCCAGGCCTGGGAAGGTCTTTTCCATTTAATGTCTCTGTCTACTACAGGAGCCACTTCAGAAGAAACAAAGATGACAACTCAAGAGCAGAATATTTGCTTGGTGAGATGCATTCTTCCCAGGAAGAACTATGCTTGGATTTACCATCCTCCTCTGACCTAAAAATCTTTATACTGTACCTGGATTCAGTTGTGTGTCTTGTGATCATTAAGACCACAGGTATATACTCAAACATACGTAAATCCTCCCCAAAGCTCATGTTTCAAGCTGCATACTAGTTTAGCCAGATGATGATTGTTGTTTTTGTTATCTCATTATGTTCGATTCCCCACTGTGCCTCCTTGAGAGAGGTGGGACTCCATGATCCATAGGGTCCTTTCCAGCTCTGCAGTTCAAAAAACTGCTGGATAGCTCAGTGACTGGCCGGCCAGAAGTCATGCCCCCTCCCCGTTAGTCTGATTGGGTGAGTGGGATCTGAACTCAAGTCTGCCACACTGGTTTGGGAAAGCAATGCCTAGATAGGGGTTCTGACCCCCCCACCTCAAAAAAGAGTAACTTTCCCGAGTTCTGGGTTTAGGGAGACCAACTTTCATTTAATTAAAATATGACCTGGGAGCAGGGGCGAAAAAATCTGCTGAATGATCCGCATGCTTGTACCTTACAGGCTCCTCCTGCCTTAGTCATATCTTCGGTTCGGTGGAAACTTGGTTGTCCCACCCGCGGAGAAAGCGAGCTGACTCATCCACAGGGGATGTGGCGCCAGGTCAGGCGAAGAACAAGAATTCCCTCCGAAAGGAAACACCCGTGTTTTGATCTCGCTACGACCCTACTTCGCCCCTGCTCCCCCCTCTGTAGCTGACCTCTCCTCCACACCTGCGGCAGAACTTCACAAGTCTGATGTGTGTGTGGGGGGGAAATAACCATTTTGATTACGTAATCCTGAGATTTAAGAAAACAGTGGAACATTAAGAAGCCTAAGTAAAACCGATCTTTCAGTCTTCTTTTTGCTGGGAATTTTATTACTATAGTACAACCCGCGGGGAGGGCATTTAAAAATGGCATGCCTCCCACGCAGTCTTACAAATGGTTTCTTCCCACGGCCAATCCTGCTTCTAAGAAGTTGATGCCACCTGCCGGGGCCGCTGAGATTGCAACCGTCGAGAAAGCGTTTCGGGCGTTTTAATATTTAGTTTCCCGCCATCTCGACCTCTTCCCGGCCTAGCTACGTCTTGTTTGTTTTCCGGAATAGCATATTTCTTTCGAGCGTTCAAACAAGCACAGAAACTCAGCGATGCTAAGGCGGAGACATCTGCCTAGTTGATGTCTACCCTGCTTGCCTATAAATTAGCAAGGAAAAAAGACGGCTGTCCTCTTGATTTACTGTATGCATTTCACCCCAGATGACAAATCAATAATAAAGGCTAGAAAAAAGGAAACCAAGGTTGAATAAATGGAGAGTAGGGAATCACACTCTATATTTACATATTATTGCCTTGCTATCCAAGTGGCTGCACTGAAATGCTGGGGGGAAACCCCTAAAAGTGATGGTTTGGTTCAATACTGGCCATCGCACATGACAGAAACTGCATTAAGAGTTATCCTACCCACACTTAAAAAAAGTAGCTCCTGATAGAGACCCTGAAAAGTGCAGGTAGGCATGGATAAAAGGCTGGGCTGGTTCAAGATTGCCTGTATGTCATCTGGTCATCAGAAAATTGAGTGAACCAGAAGGTTTCCAAAGTGCCCCAAAACATGAGATGAAGCATCATCCTATCCCACCCTGATTTGGGTTTTTCACAGGATCATGATGTTACATACAGCACTGATGTTACCTGTCTGTCATGGGTTTGGAGGGAAAGTTCCATCCTATGGGGAGTGGAAGGCGGGACATCAGGAGGAGGGGCTGTACTGTATATATATGTGAAGCCTGTGTGGTGAAGTTAGGAGACGCTGGGATGTGACGAAGCAGCAGCTGGGAAGAAGAAGCTGGTGTGGGAGTCTGTGTGTCAGACAGGGTACTACTGTGTGTCAGTACCAACCTGATAGGTTCAGGTGTCTGAATGGTTAGCCAGAACTGATAGGTTCAGGGTCTGTGCTTCAAGTAGAGTGTTCTGTGTGAACCAAACTGTGTGTCTGTATGAATGAGAATAAGCCACGTTACTATATCTTATTCACCTGATCATTTTATTTTGCTTGTGTGTTGTTTTAAATAAACCTTATTCTTTTATTTGTTTAAAAATCCATCCCTGGTCTGTGTGACTTCTTATAGGGAATGGTTGGTGGCAGCTTAGTTAACGTGTGGCAGATCCCAGTAGGTCTGGGTTTGTCACACATGATAATGTGCATCATCATTAGGAAATGTCTGTAGATCTAGCTGTAATTAAAAGCATGGGAGCAGGAGCTGGCAAAAAGAAGCTGGCAAGCCTATTTGCAGCCTGTACATATGCTGCATTTAAAGTGAAGTGCTGTTATCCTTGTCACACATGACATAAACCACAACTGCCTTGCTCACTTCTCTCTTAGAAGGCAGAGAACCTGCATCAGGCCTGCCTTTTTCCTATTTGTTTCCTTAATTTCCCATGGAAAATGGGAAATGAAAGTATTTCAAAACACAGCCACAGGACTCCTAACCATGAGAGCATGCAACTTTGTTAAGCAGGCCTGGTACTTGCTCTCTTTTTGCATTGTCCCTAGATTTGTGGGCATGTGAGGGAATCTTTGGAATTTTCTGCATGAAGACTTTATGTGGTTTTGAAAGGAGTATTTCATTTGGCCTTATTACTTTAACTGCATTTATCACAAAAAGCCATGATGCAGAATTTGGGAAAAATCAGCTTTTTGTCTTACAACTATCAGAATCCTCCAGTCAGCCTGGCTACTGGTTTCTAGAGTTCCAGAAGTTGTAGGCTAAAAAAACACCTTTTCTGAACAACAACAACAATTCTGCCTCTTTTACCATGCCATGCTATACTAACCAACCGAAATTTGCAATGTGTATCCATAGTTCGTGGCTGCCTATTATCAGCCATGGGTTGTTGTATTGTCCAAACCAACAAAAAGAACAGGAGGCAATCAAATCAGAAATGGTGAGGACAAACCATAGTTTGCTTGCTGTACAACTAATTTTTTAAAGCAACAAACCATGGTTAATACAAGCCATGGTTTATCATAATGTGTGAACATTACCCATTATCTCCTAGGATTTCAAAAATTTTCAGGCTGCATTCTCTGCCTTGTGGTGCTGCAAAAAAGGGGGGAATCAGAAGAATCAGAACCCCAAAGACTTAGAAAAATTACATTTCCTGCACATGTAATCTATGAATCATATATCATTTCTGGAAAATCAAAGAAAGTAAGAACAACCAGCATCAAGGAAGAGTGCAGATGGCACAGTTAACTGGAGTTACATTTCAGCCTCAATACTTGCCGTGGCCTGAAAATAATAAATTGCTTCTGAACATGTGAAGAGTAACATCCTTTAGTTAGTTAAGAACCTTGGGATTTGAAAGATTAACAAATCTATGCCGAGAACCTTTCAAACTGTTGGGAAATCGAGTTGGGAGAAGTTATGCTAACAGTGGGCCAGAGCTTGGGAAAGTTTACTGTTTTGAACTGCGTCTGTTAGCACTGAGGTTGCCACGGACTCTTCAAGCTAGGGGATTCTGGGAGCTGAAGTCCAAACATGTAATTTTTTATAAGCTCCACTGTTGTCCCAAACACATACATGACTACAAATAAGCACAGTTAGAACTGCTAGAAGGGGATTTTTAAGCAATCATAACTCCCAATCTCTTTCACCCATACATACTTTACCTGTGTGGGACTGGTTTCCTGCATGCCTTGTTTCACCTTATCCTCCATGGGCTTGTGGAAATGGTCCAAGGTACTTTTCAGGAATGGCTGAGGGGGACCCCATGAGGCAGCTTTGTACAATCCTGCGTTCTCAATGCTAGCCTGGCCAGGAGTTGCCAGCCTTGCTAAGTCATCCAGAGACACTGTAGGCCTCATCTGTTCTGTAGAACGGCCCCCACCCACCAGAGAAGAGTTGGAGCCTGCATCATAGGGAGGCTTGAGGGAACCATGGGAGGCACTGAGGGTGGAAAACGTGGCTCTGGTTGCTCCAGAAATGGAGGACAACCTCTTCCCACTGGCATCTGAACAAACCGCCGTTCCTACTCCCGAGGAGATCGGATGCTTCTGCTTCTGGGAGGAATCTACCTCTTGTTCTTGAGCGGCATTCACAAAACGGTATTCGTACTCTGGTGGCTGTTCCCCAGTGACCCGGGTGGGTGCCTCAAAGCTGGCATTCTGCAAGAGGGTTGTGGAAGGCAGTTTGTCAGGAGAGGGTATAGTCTGAGTCAGAGGGCCCAGCTCTCTGACATACTTTGCTGGGATGTAGAAAGGTCGGTCTTCTTTGCTTTTCCTCACATGCCACCAATGATCATTCGTTTTCCTCAGAAGTATGTATCTCTCATTCGGTTTGATGGATATAAGCTGCCCATCCTTGGAGGTGTAGTCAAAGGCATACTCCACCAAGACATGTGTCTCTTCCTGTTCCTTTCTGTCTGATGAAGCCATCCCAGTGTCCAAAAATAGCTTTCTTGCTGGAAACAATTTATTCTCTCTGAAAGAGAGGGGAGAAAAAAAATTCTGTAGCAAGGATGGACTAGATACTTTGTGGGGGTGTGGGAGCAAAGGGCATATACTTTTTTTCAACTTGTTTATTGTTTAGTAAAAAAAATAACTGGTTCTGTAGCAAGGAGAATTCTGCAGCCCAGGTTAGAAGCAAAAGTAGGAGACATTCACTGCAGCCTTTGGAAGATTTTTTAAGACGTCATCTATTATGCAACTCATTGCAAAGGCCCCAGAGGGAATCCACTACCACAACACTTGTGAGAAATGATCAGTAACACATTGCTGTACTCTTGAGAGGTTTTTTTTTGTTTTTAATTGCTCATTACGTTTTTTTACAAAGGGGACAAAACTGAAGACTGATAATAGGATACCACAATTCCATTAGAATGAAACTAAAATTATCCTGAAAAGTAATGCAAAAACATTAGTTATCATGCGTGTTGAAAGTAAAACCTTTCCTGCATGTCACGCTGCTTTTGAAAGGTAATGTTATTATGTCCTCTTTACCAGAAATAGTAATGAATCACAGGAAAAATCTTTACTTTGAAGGTTGCAATAGACGTTTATATAATAGAATTATAAATATACTCGTATAATTATTCTGCTTCTTCTACACCAGAATCTACAAAGAGTTCCTTTTTCTAATTCCACTTTGCTTAACTTTGTTCCTAACTGGTTCCTTCCAACAGCAAATCAAGTGAAACATTCCTAAATTTAAAAAGTCTAATTTTCAGCTTTGAAAGCATACCAACCGTTATCTACTGTATTTCTGGTGAATACTGAGAAGAGTGAGGCTGGCTTCAGCCAGATATTTTGTACTTCACCGTAGAACATACAAACAGCCTTCTGCTGGTCTGGTTTAGAGATTAATATGAGGTCAGTTGTTGAAGTATAAGTGCCTTCCGTTAAGTTTGGATTGGTGTATTTGCTACTAACTATAGAAATTGAAGCCAGTGTTAGAACCTAACTGGCTTTCCCCTTGTATGTATTACAAGAAGAATAAGGGGCCTGCTAGAACAGATCAAAGGGCTGTCTAGTCCAGCATCCTGTTCCCTACAATGCTCAAGGGGATACCTTAGAAAGCCCACCATCAGGACATGGGCACAATATCCCACTGAGCAGTATGCACTGAGGCATACTGGATTTGATACAGTAGATAATACAGTAGATAATATCTACAGTACCCATCACCTTGACTGGTGGTCATTGATAGGGTTCCCCCCCTCATGATCACTCTTTAAAGGTGTGAAAATTAGTGGCCAATAGTACTCTTGTGAAAGTGACTGTAGTGGTGTAGTTATTGGCCGTGTGACAAATGACTTCCTGAATCTCCCTTCATGAGTGATCTGGGTTGTAGTGTTATGAGAGAGAAACTTCTCTGTTTCCACTTTCCATCATAACCTGTAAACTTTGCATCTGCATTTTCTCTCTCCCATTACTTGCTTTTGTTCAAACATTTTGTTCAACTTCCAGCACAGTAACCTTCAGCCTCACTGATCATTTTGTTTGTTGTTTTCTGCCCCTTCTCCAGCTCTACAGTATCCATTTTGAACTTACAGATATGACCGCACCATACATTTGCATAGCTATTAGTTCCCAAACTGGGGGTTGTGCCTGCCTGAAGAAATGATAAAAACATTCCAGGGCAGGTACAAGAGTGAAATGCCTCATAACGAACAAAAAAAATGCTTTTGTCAGTTTAAACAGATATATTTATTTTCCAGTTTAATACCGGGGCATTAATTTAAAATGATTTTTGCTAGGTTGTTGTCTTCATTCTAAAATTAAATTATAACTTTATTTTTTTAAAATGCTTAAAATCAGTATATATTATAGTAATTAAGTGTTGGGAGGCACTAGAGTTTCTTAAAAACTAAAAAGGGAGAAGATGTTAAAAATTTTGGGAATCACTGAAATAAATAATTAGCATAGTGGCAGATCAAAGGATACCAGCACTTTTTAATTGTTCAAACCCTACGTACAAGGCATAGGCTGCATCAAGCCAGGAAAGAAGGAGACCATTTGCTCAGATGCAAAGCTCGAAAAAGTTTGTTTAAATCACAGGATACTGCACCCAGAATAGCTGCTAGAACCCTATCTGGGGAGGATTTTGGGAACACTTATTTCCAAAAACATAACTTTTCTAGCTTCACATGGGGAAAGGGGAATCCTGCAGAATGTTAGTGACTGGAACAATGGTGACTGGCCAGTCTAGCGCTAGTGTCTGATTAAGGCTATTGAGTTACACTATTGGACCTTGGTCCTCTTAGCTCAGCAGTTTCTGCTTTGAATGTTTATTTGTCTCACACTCTGCCTGAAATCCATTTGTTGGTGATGTTTGGGAAATTTTGAGTTGTAGCCTGAGTGCATGCTCATTACTGAACTGTTTCCTTTCCACAGGCTCAGTACCTCCGGCTTCTGTTTTTGTTGGCTTAACTTCCTTTCTTGTCAAGTATGTCTTTTGTACCTAAACAAACAAACAAACAAACAAACAATGTAATCTAGATAGAACAGCCAAAGTCTGGGTTAAATTGTAACATTTATTTCTTATGTGCTGTCAAGTCAGCTCCAATTTAGGAGAACCTTATGAAGGGTTGAGGCCCAAAATGTGGTATTACTGTATTAGCTTCTTGCAATTTCAAGTTCATGGCTTCCTTTATTAAGTCAATCTATCTTATATCTGGCATTCCTTTTTTTAAAGCTGCATTGTGCTTTTCCTGGCATTATTGTCTTTATTGAGTCAATCTATCTTATATCTGGTATTCCTTTTTTTTTAAAGCTGCCTTGTGCTTTTCCTGGCATTATTGCCTTTTCCATCAAGATACCTTGATGGAAGGTACAAAAGAGGTATATTCAAAATCTTCCAGGACATTTCTTCAGATGTAAATATTTTTAAAACCAGAGAACTGAGGAAGAAGCAGAAAGGCTCTTAGGTTCAAAAAAAATTGACTAGATGCTAAACCACTATTCTTTAAAGCAGATAGTTAAAGCAAAATGCAGACTGTAGATCCAGTGTAAAATATGTTGCAGAATTTTGAATTTCTGGTAAAATTCCCTTTTGTTATTCAGTAGAAGTACAGAGATCCAGAGAGGAGAACAGCTACCAGTTCCCCAGAGACCATTCCTTTCTAATGAATTGGCACTTAAAGTCTCAATAACGCACTCTGAGATATTGGCAGGAGAAAAATCAAAATGTTTCTTTACTTGCAGTTGCTTGAAATTACAAATTTGTATGTGCTGCTTTTTTTTACTACACATATACTTAGCAACCAACTGAACAGATCAACAGTATGCAACAATTGCCACCAACAGACACTCAGACTATAGACAGCATGTGAGGCTGAAAACAAAATGCCAACAAAATAAAGGTGTCATAGCCTGTTTCCCTAGAGGAGATGTAACCTAGTTAAAACTTTTGAATTGGTTTCTTCTGCCTTGAGGTAGATTTTTACCTAAACGTACTGAGTGATTAGCTAGCATAATGATTGTTGACTGTGAGATTCTAGGAATTGTAGTTCAAAAAGTGAACTTTTTCAGGCTGTGGGCTCTGGATGGTCCCTCCGGGTCTTCTCCAGATTGTAACTCTCTGATTCCTCTGCTGGGAGGTTAAGGCTTCTTAGGATCTGATAAAAGAATGTTAAAGATCCATTGTCAGTTGTGTAATATGCCTCCATGGCAGCTAAGAAGGCCCAAGAAAGTACTGGTAATCTGGAAGAGGTTATTTCATTATAAGATCAGCTGGACAGCTCAGTGAGTTGGGTACCTGGCTACAAGAATTTGGGAGTTCAATTCCTCACTGTGCCTCCTTGGAAAAGGGCAAACTTGTGTGGCTTTAGGCAAACTGCCGGGTCCCAAAGGCTTCTGCATAACATATACAGTACCTAGAAAATCATGGAAAGGGTGTCATAAGCAAGAACTGACCCAATGCCACATATTTATTTACTTATAACTATTTTCTACCTACAGAAAAAAAGAGAAGGGAATGGGACTTAGGTAAAGGTAAAGGTTCCCCTTGACAATTTTTGTCCAGTCGTGTTCGACTCTAGGGGGCGGTGCTCATCCCCGTTTCCAAGCCATAGAGCCAGCGTTTTGTCCAAAGACAATTTTCCGTGGTCACATGGCCAGTGCGACTTAGACACGGAACGCCGTTACCTTCCCACCGAGGTGGTCCCTATTTATCTACTTGCATTTGCATGCTTTCGAAACACTAGGTTGGCGGGAGCTGGGACAAGCGACGGGCGCTCACTCCGTCACGTGGATTTGATCTTACGACTGCTTGGTCTTCTGATCCTGCAGCACAGGCTTCTGCGCTTTAGCCCGCAGCACCACCACATCCCTTACGTGTGTACAAAAGGACAAGCAGATCCCAGGGAAGACTGGTAGAGGCATACAGATTAGCTCTTTTGTTTGGCCAGTTGAAAGGACATGAATCCATGTGCAAGCTTTTAATATCTTGAAATCTCTCCATCAGGCAAGATGTTACAAAGCCGGTATGTGGAGGAGGAGGCTGATATGGTGTTATGATATCTGTACAGGTGGTGGAGGCTGCTATGACTTCATGGTGTCTGTATGATGTCTCAAGGTAGAATAAGAGAGGAGAGCAGGCAGACATCCAAATGAGGCTTAAGCAGGTGATATGAACATGCAGGTTTTAGGATTCTCTTGGATGCAGTTCCTTGCAGCACCGGGAGCAAGGCAGAACAGTTTGGTCTTTTAAAGTGGAAAAAATACAGTACATTCTCTTTCACCAAAGAAACAAAAGCCTGGTAATGCTTATACTCCTGGAGTTCTAAATGCCTGAGGAACTGGGATGCAAGGACATAAACTTGTTTAATTAGAGTTACCTAGTTCATTTTTTCAGTCCCATTTTAAGGCATGCCTGTTTTGACTACTGTACTGTCCTTTTGTATTTGGAGTTTCCCCTTTACGGATTGCTGCCTTGTCATGGCGAAGGGGATTGAGTAACTCAGAGAAGCTATGGGCTATGCC